ATTGCAAGCACTGTTTATCATTCTGAACTACCACCACAGTGGGTGAGGAGACCACCGAGCTTTCAAGGAGCATTTACAATGAAATCGTACCAAGAACCAGTACCAAAGCTACAACACACAACACTCACAGTACTGCTACCAAAAGCAGTGGCACCAAATGTTTCTGACACTAAAATGGGTTAAAATACAAGTTTCTTCAGCAAGACGTTAATTATTTAAACAGTTATAACCATGTGACTCCTTTTCTACTGCAACAAGGTACCAACTAAATTACTGAATAAATTAAACCAAAATTGCATTAAATATTGATTACACCTTTATAAGAACTATGCATTTATTGCCCACTGTCCCCACAGGTGGCACACACACAGATAGTCCACTCTACGGTCCCCAGAAGGGGACAGGAGGCATTAGGTGCTGCACGCCCTCATCTCATACGCACACACTGCTCAGCCTGACTGACTGGGCATGCGGACAGTATCAAGAAGGGAAAATAAAAGTTGTTGCAGCTATGGTGTCAGGAGGAAGAGAGCCTGCCATGCCGGAAATCTGCCTGTATTGCAGTAACGCTGCGGATAACAGAACCAGGAGCAGGCAGATGTAACCCAGGAGAGCAGCAGGGTGTGTCACAACATGCTGGGCAAGAAAATGCAGTAGTACGTATCTGTCATGCATATCAATACGCATCTTTCATTGTCATCAACAGCTTTAACAGTTCTATGATTTTATTCAGAAAATTAGCTGCAAGCAAAATCTAAGTTTACCAAACTCCAGAACTGTGCTGGGCTCCTCTTTATTGAAGTTACCTTGTCCTTAATTCTCAAGGTTTTCTAGATAGCCATCAGGATTTAAATTGTCCCTGAACAACAAGAAAGCGTTGCAGCCGTCCTGATAAAAGCAATCCCTGCAGAAGCACTAAAGATACTTTAGGGCAACTTTCTGCTCATATCACAGAGCAGCCTGTCCTCTCTCCAGCACGGACAGGAGATACAGGAGAGAGTGACACTAACACTGAACATGGCAGAAAAGATACCAGTGATCACACAAAAAGCAAGTGCTGGGACATCTGAATTCTTCATTTTAAGGACCATTAGTCAGTTTTTTTTATTTTTTTTTTTATAAGCACAAGGTAAAACACACAAGGCACAAATCCTGATGAGCTAACACATGACACTGGATGTTCAGATCCAGTTTATTTCCAGTAAGATCAGAACAGAACTCACATAAAAACACACAGATTATTAAAAAAATGACTTGGAAGTGCTTTAACTCAATGTGTGAGCCTGACAAGAGCAAGTGCTCTATTTAAGATGTTTAACAGTTCTGAAGTTCAAAATAAACTTCATTCCACCAAAAATGAACCCATCATGAATAAAAGCATTCAGCACTCTGGCAAGCCAGTATGCTTGTTCCTGAAAGGGGAGAGTAGAAAAGCAAGCCATTAAGAAACATCCCGCTGTCTCACACCAGTAGTCCCTCTGGCCCCCTTAACAGCAGATGATATCTGCAGGGAGCGTGAGAGCCTGGCCACCTGCTTTGTAGTTTCCCAGCATCCACAATCATTGTACTACAGGTCTCCTTCCCTAGCAGCCTCACACCTAAGAGGTTACCTATTTTCATTTTGCACGATTCCATATGCTACTCTGTATTTCACTAAGAATAAAAAGGACTAGAATGAGGAATGCTGAATAACGCCCTACTGAACTACTTAATTTCTACGATTTATGACTAACTCACACAGAAAACAAGTCAGTCTCTGAAAGGAGACTATTCTGGTGTCTTACAACATTCGTGGCCACTTCAGCAGAAGTCTAAAGAACCACCTGAAAACACAATGAACTCTCAGGAAAGTCGATAACGTTGGGCTCATTTCATGAATAGGTAAAATAAACAACAGCAAATATAAAAATAACCAACAGGTACTGGACATCACTTCCCTTTAGTCAAGGGAAGTAACCCACAGCTCACATTTTAACCTCGGCGCTGAACACTGCAGAAGAGAAATTCCCAATCAAAGTCTCCTAATAAGCCCCACCACCTACCTGGACCTGCTCAAACACGCAGGGTCGTGAAACCATCACACGAACCGGCCCGCGCGCACCTCAGCACGGGGAAAGCCCAGGATCCACCCAATCCCAAACCCCGCCACAGCCCGGGCGCCGCTCGCCCTGCCCAGCACGCGGCGCGGCGGGCCCGTGAGAAGCCCGTGAGGAAGGCGGCCTCGGGGAGCGGGAGGCCGCCCGCAAGGAGGCCCGGCGGCACCGAGCGCACCCGGCCCGCCCCCGCCGGCCCGGGAGAGCCGCGGGCGCACCCGGCGGAGGCCGGCACGGTCGGCGCCCCCCCGAGGGCTCGGTGCCGGGCAAATGCCGCCCGCCCCGCAGCGCGGCGCCGCCACTCACCAGGGAGATGGTGGTCGTGGCCGCCATCTTGTCCACCCCGTCGGCAGGGAGCGCGGCGCTCTCGCGACAGCTTCAGGGCGCGCGCGGAGCGGCGAGCTCTCGCGAGCGCTCTGAGGCAAGCGGCGGGAGGAGGTCTCGCGAGAGTTCCGGGGAGCGGCGTGACGGGGGGCGGGGCTGGCGGCGGGGCCCGCCACGGCCCCGGTCCCGTCATGCCCGTCACGGCCCCGGGCCTCGCCCCCCCCCCTCGCTTCGTGCCGCGTCCCGGGCCCGGCGGGGAGGCCCTGGCGCACCAGGGGTGCTCCCTCCTTGGTGCCTCCGGCAGCGGGACTGGCTGCTGCTCGGGACACCGCGCGGAGGCGCCGGGAGCCGAGCCCCGCCCGTCCCCAGGGGGCCCTCGGTGTCCCGAACCCCTGGCGGTGGGGGCCCCGTGTCGCGATCCGAGCCCAGCCCTGCCCCGCTCCGCGCTGCTTCCGTGGTTCCCGGCTCTGCCGTGCGGATTGAAATACACGGGAAAGGCCGGGAGCAGGGCAGGTGGTGCTGTCACGGCTGTTCTCCAAAGGAAGGCCTGCAGCAAGGGACAGGCGTGTTGTTAGCGCTGCGCTTCGTTATTTAACGGGGCATGAGAATGACCCGGCCTGCTGGCCGTGCTACGAACCAGGCAGAAGGTTATGGAAAAAGCTCTGAGAAGTTTGCAGGTTCTGGAAATCTGACTGATAAAAGATTTAGAAAGCTAAAAGCAGGAAAGCTCACCAAAAGCCATTGAGGGATAACTTAATATCTAAGTACTCTTATGATGATAAATCTTGCACTGCAAAAGTTCCTTTATCTAGCAGATAAAGGTACAATGTCTGAATTTGGACATAAAAACGTGAAACATATTTCTAATCTGAATTTAAGTGACTGACGTTAACCACTGGAAAACATTAATTATTGAGACACAGTGGATTCCTACATTATGCAATTTTTAAAGACTAGATACTGTACTAAAAGACGTGCAGTTTCACATCTATAACATACGGGGCTGATGAGACTTGCCCAGCTGTGTCTGAGGACACATCTCCTTTCTTGTCTGACTTGCAAATGTGAGGGCAGGATTTCCATTCTTGTGCTGGTGCCAGTTTTGCTAAGAAGGCCATGCCCATCGTGCTGAACACCAAGCTGACTGTGAGCCAGCAATCACAGAATCACACAATCATTAAGGTTGGAAAAGCCCTCCAGGATCGTCTGGTCCAACCACCCCCCTACCACCAATGTCACCCACTAAACCATGTCCCCAAGCACCACGTCCAACCTCTCCTTGAACACCCCCAGGGACGGTGACTCCACCACCTCCCTGGGCAACCCGTCCCAGTGCCTGACTGCTCTTTCTGAGAAGAAATGTCTCCTCATTTCCCACCTGAACCTCCCCTGCCACAGCTTGAGGCCATTCCCTCTAGGCCTATTGGCAGTTATCTGTGAGAAAAGGCAGACGCACACCTCTCAGGTAGGTGCAGAGAGCAATAAGGTCTCCCCTGAGCCTCCTCTTCTCCAGGCTAAACAACCCCAGTTCCCTCAGCCGTTCCTCAAAGGACTCGTGTTCTAGAATGTGCTCTTGCAATGTGCTCTTACAGCAGAGAAGCCCAATGGTATCCTGGGCTGCACCAGGGAAAGCCTTGCCAGCTGGCTGAGGGAAGATCCTTCCTCTGCTCCATGCTGGTGAGGCCACATCTGGAGCGCTGAACCCCCTGCTGGGCTCCCAGTGACAAGACAGAGATGGACTTACTGGAGTGAGTCTGGTGCAGAGTCACCAAGATGGGGAAGGGACTGAAGCATCTGTTGTAGGAGAGGTGGAGAGTGGGGGCTGCTCAGCCTGGAGAGGCTTGCAGAGGCTCAAAGTGTACAAATGCCTGATTAGAGGCTGAAGAAGCTGGAGCCATGCCCTCCTCAGGAGATCCCAGTGTCAGGACAAGAGACAATGGGCCCAAACTGAAAAATGGGAAATTCCCTTTGAACACAGGAAGACACTTTTCTCCAGTGAGGCTGGCTGAACACTGGCACAGGCTGCTGAGAGAAGCTGCGGTGTCTCTGTCCATGGCAATACTCCAACCTGACTGGACATGGTCCTGGGTGACCCAGCTTGAGCAAGGGGCTTTGGGCTGCTGAGGGCGGAAGGGACCTCCTGGGATCTCACGTGGTCCCTGCCAACCTTGGCTCTTCTGTGATTCTATGTCTACAGCCTGTCACGTATTCAGAACATCCAACAATAGCTGGTTAATGAACTCCTAACTGCTGAGTACATCATGGCCAGTAGGAGGGGGAACCATCACTCAAACTGAGGTAGTTAATGTTAAACAATTAAATCAGGTGAAATGTGATAAAGAAGAGCTAATGAGCTCATCAGGGAAATGAAGCGACTGGTATAGGAAGGAATTCTCAGTTTTCAAAGGCAAGTGCAAGCTTGTTCTGGAGGAGCAATTTTTGAATCATGCAGCTGAATGATGTTTCTCTACTGGATTCCTTCTCTACCCGATTTACCTGATTCTGTGGGTAAGTCTGTTGAACACAAGGAAGCTATTTTACTCTTAACTGTAAGAGTGACTAAGAAATTATTGAGTGTTTTGCTCAGTGGATCAGCTCCTCTGATGAGATAAGCTGCTTTCAATGGCTTTATTGATTTGTCAGTTTCTGTAAAGTTGGCACAGCGCAGCACAACTGGGAAAACACAGCACAATTTGACAGCTCAGCGTAGCATCGTAGCATGGCAAACCCAGCCCAGTGTAATACAGTTGGTGCAACACCGCAAAGCGTAATGCAGGCACGGAGGACCTGGCACAGCACAGCACAGCAGCACAGCGTGAGGCCGCTGGCACCACACAGCACAACGTGAACGGCATGGAGCAGCACTGCATAGCTCTTGCTACACAAAGAATTCCTGTTTGCAATTTTCACCAATTGAGCCTGACATGCACTGCAGCTAAGATTGCCCCTTTCTCCACACTAATGACAGAAGTTACAAATACTCTAGGAGAAACGGGAGGAAGAGACATCAGGGGTTTCCCCCTTAAGATGTCATGAGATTTTGGAAGGCCTAAGACAAACAGGAGAATGACAAGGGTTTGTTCAGCACCAGTGGCGTTTCCACGTTTTTGACATGTTAGGATCCAGCTGGTAGATTTGGATTTCTGGAATCTTCTCCTGCCATGTCAAGTCCAGCTCACAAAGTCCACTCTTCAGCTTACACCAAAGTGTGCAATTCTAATTACAAGGCATCACAGTGTTTTATCTGTGCTGGAGAAATCAAAACAGGAATAACTGGGTATAAAGAACAGAATGTGGCAGATTGGAAACTGCACCAGAGCTTTCCAATCCTGCTCCTCTCCTCTCTTCTGCATGTATCACCAGCTGGCAAAGAGGAAAAATTAAAATAGCTTTGGGACCTGCAGTGAGAAAAGCTTATAATTCCCAGAGGCAAATTTATCAGTTTGGGGAAGTCTTGCAGCAGCTTTGTATCTTCACAAATACCATCAGCAAGGGATTGAAGAAGTGCTACTGCACTCCCTCACACCTCAACTCCCTCTGGCTTACTGCTTCATGACTGGGGGCCAGAGCACATACTCGTGCACAGGCCATCCCGTATTTGCTGGTTACTCCTCCACTTGCTGTTGTCTTTCCACGCCACAGCTAAGGCATACACCTCTCATGGACTGCAAAGATTCAGTCTGGAGCGAGTGGTCTGGTCGGTCCCGCTGGAGGAGGTTTGGTCAGAAGCCCTGCAGTCTTCTCGTCTGGTGTGCTGCCTGTCCCTGTGGCACAGGAGACCCTGCTGTCCCAGACTGCAGCAAAGCGACTCACAAGGGAGGAGACCGGTATTTGTGGAAGGCATTTTCCAGGAAGTTAGCCAGCTTTTCACAGTCGTCCTAAAATAAGGGGAAAAGCAAGCCAACAGATTAATTTGGCTTGGTACCTTGGATATCTCCTTCCTTACATGATTGTGTATATCCCTTCCTTACATGATTCCATTTCAAGTTACCAGATTTTATATCTGAGGTTTGATATGGGAAGAGAACAACTCACAAGCAGTTCTGGAACATAGCACTACTAATTATTGTATTTACTGAATTACACCAAATGACCAACCAAGAATGGAACCTTATTGTGTCAGGTGCTGTACAAATGCAAAAGTCAGTTCTTTGGAGTGTCCAATCTGAAGGAAAAAAACAGGTCTAGCTTTTTTTGTTTAGTTTAATTTCAACTTAACTAACTTACCACTGGATCTAAAGTTATTTGCTATGGCTACCTGTTTTTATAGTATCCTTATTGCTAATTAAAATAATTTAAAAAATGGTATCACTTTTTGTTGGCTTGGCAACTATTTTGTACAGAAATCTTTTTTTCTAACACATTCAGGAGTAGTTGTTTTATAACACAATTAGAATGTTTATTCATTAAGAATTACTGAAATACATAATGATATGTAAAGGATGCAAAACACCCACATCTTGTGTCACAAAGGGTTTTGGGAACTGCCAGAAACTAACACAAAATTCTTACTAAAAAAAAAAAAAAAAAAAAAAAAAAAAGGTGACTGTTTTCTCATTGCTTAGAGGCACTCTCCTGTCCCTATTGTTGCTAAATTACTACCTTTCTTTTAAGAAAAAACTTGGATTTTGAAGACAAGATTTGTAAGGCATAGATGGTATCTTTTAGACAAACCACTCTTACAGCTGGAAAAGCAAATGAGCATTTGGGTACACAAGTCCTTCAGATTAGAAACAAGCAGCATACTTCCAAGCTAAATACAAGCTCAGGACATTTGCTCAGTTTAGCAAGATATATATCAGTTACACCATCTGAGAGAAAAGGTAGTCACTACCTGTGGAGTTAAAAAGACGTTAGAGAGGGAAAGACGTTTTAAAAGGAGATTATCTCCTAGGAGAAAGAAAGAGAAAGGTAATTTGCAGTCTGGAACACAGACCAGTGAAGTATATTCTACAGTTCTAGAATGCCCCGAATGCCATGTATTTTCCAGAGCACAGGAGAAAGCACCCCACTGTTTCAGTGCCAAGCTGCACAATCACCATGCTCAGATGAAGAAAGGAAGAAAATCTAAATGTACTTTTTCTCAGGTGTACTCACATATATTTTTCATTCAGTGAAGCTGACCCCTTCCTTGTCTAATGTCAGCATCCAGAATGAGGAATTCTCCAAAACTTTGCCTACAGCCCCAGAATTCCTAACTTATACAAAATAAAAATAGATATATTTTTAATTCTCTCCATGCTGCCTTTCCTTCAGACTATTATGCTGTTGGAATGACAGGGCAGTTCTGCATTCTCACTTGGAACTGTCTGTAAACACCAAGGGAGAGCCTGGAAGTGCAATGTTGGGGTAGATCACTTCTTCTGGCAGGCAGAAATTTGCAAAGGGACATAAGAGCAGCTGTCTGCACAACACAGACTACCAGAGCAGTTTCTCTGGGAGATAGGAGGTGGCCTTGACTTCCTTTCCCATCACTCTGGTTTTCACATTCAAAATCAGTGTAAGGTTGATGTAATTCGTGTTGTGACCCTACGACCACAATACAGCTGACCCTTCATGCCCAACAGCATGGGCAAAGTATGGAGGGGGGGGAAAAAAAAGTGTCACTCACTGCAAAGGGAATTAGCACAGCATGGAGCTGCAGGCTGAGCATTGTGACTGCTCCTGGCTTCCAGGCAGGGAATGGAGGAGCTCCTACTCCTCTGAAGCATGAGGTGTCGTATGGATTTGGGGACTGCTGTGGCAGTGCTGTGCATGCACAGCCGAGGTGGCAAGGAATGGCAGCAGGCTTACCTCGTGGATGAATCCATAATGCACCAGCTCTGTGGCTAAGTCCTTGGAGTTATCAGCTGCAGAGAGGAGGAACAGTGAGAACATGAACGTTCATGCACCTCAGTTTCTCTTCTACTCATAAAGCACACCTATTCAAACTCACAGCACACCCGCATTATGCTTCATTATGCTTCAGGGGTATCTGCAGTGTATTTCTGGCTGGCTAGGTAATTTCTAAGTAATCCTGGGGCAAATAAAGTACAGCAGTGAGAAAGGAATTAAAGCAGAACAAAGCACCAGTCAGGAACAAGCTCCAGCCCCAAATCACACAAAGCACAATAGTATTGGCAACGTGTCACGTTGAGATCTTTTGCTTGTTTTGGCTCAGCATGAAAAGAAAGCAGGCCACTACCTGTAGGCAGAAAAACACAAGGAGCTGGTGAAGCAGCAACTCCCAAGCATTAGTTCCCAAGCTTTATATTTTAATTTTGGCTGTAAGGCAGTCAATGGGCTCTAGCTGCACAGCTTCCATAGGACTTCTGCATGTTTTAGGAAGGAGCTGCTGTGTTGGACCTACTCCAAGGAGAAGCACCCTTCCCCAGAGCCACAGGACTCCCTTAGAGGACAAGTCACCTTTTCCTTTGAAAGGTATTACAGACTGCACCAGCGCTGGGGAATGACGGTAGAATTCACTCACTCACTAGTATTTCCCTTGGAACTCCATGTCCCAAATTTCAGTCTTAAATGCATGCTCTTGATGGCTGCTCATTGGACTGCCAAAGTTCACTACTTGAGAGTGCAAGCTAGTACTACATGCCAGAGTGGATAAGAACAGGGGCCACATGCTTATTATGGTTGGTTCTGCTTTCCCAGCATGAGAAGGAAAGAAAAACTGACTTTAAGCACAGTCTGTGACTAACATACTCTGAGCCTAAACCTCACCAGGGCTACCAGGCAATAAACCTGCATTCAATACACAAAAAACAAGTAAACCTACTGGGCAGCAAGTCGTAGCTCAACTGTCGATGCAATTTGTCCTCCAAGATCAGCAGAAGAGTGAGCTGCAGAAAGAAGAGAGTGATCTTTACAAACACCAGTTTCTCTGTAAGAGACAATAGTGCTGGCTCTTCCATCAGCACTAGAAGCTGTTGGCAGGGGTGAGCAGAGAGGGTGTTGGTAACTGCTAACATGTTGGATGTCTTTGAGGGGTACTTTGAGTGTATTACAGAAATGTTCTCTAAGCAGTCACAGATCAGCTGCAACTGTTAAATTAGAAATAAGTAGAGTTAAAAGGTATCCAGACAAAGACATCAAGGACTGCCATCCTGAAGCCAGGGGGCTCTGGTGGCTTCACTCTTCTTTGGGTTTCTTTTGTTGTAAAAAGACAAGAGTACATTCTTCAGGTACCACAGCAAACTAGCTGAGAACAAACTTTGTCACAGTTGGATGCCAGAGATGGGTACAGAGAGCAGGTCTTGCCCCAGTGCCTCGTGTGGACTTGGTGGAGCTGAATACTTACATGCCACTGGGTCTTGTCTTCATTCAGCTCCATGTTACATTGCATTTGCACCACCTAGAAGAGGGCAAAGGAAATATCAGCCTGGACACAGCCCCTTCAGTTCCTCCAGGTCTGCTTTGCTTCTGCTCTCCAAGCATGACTCTCAAAATCCTATTTAAAACCTGTAATTCCAACTGCCAGCCTGATCTTCCCCCCGCCCACATTTCTAGGAATTGTCCAGGTGGAGCAGCTGAGGCACAATTTAGTCCAACATCCAGTTACAAACTGTCATCATCAGCTGGTGGAGAGGTGGGTAAGTGAGGAGTCCTGTGCAAGGTGCAGCTGTGGGATAGCTTTACAGCCAGGATGAATTATTCTGCTTCATTTCTCAGGCCTACGTGTAGGTTCCCCCTAGAATCTTGCCAAAACTCTTGGTTGCATTTTAGTATTGTACTTGTTCATGTCCTTGAGGGATGACCAATTCTTAAATCAGACAAAAGTGCAAAACTGAAATCCCAAGTATTATTAAAGTGAAATACAGGGTTTCTTTTGGAACCAGGACTGCATCACATCACAGACCATTCAAATGCGTTAAATAAATATGGATTTTTATTAATATGTTTGAGTTCCTATGAACTAACAAAATGGTTCACACCAGAAGTCATCTTGTCTGGGAAAAAGAAAGAGGGACAGCATGCCATTCATCAACCCAGAAAACAGGAAACCTAGTGAGGAATCAACATCCATGTTGCAAGCAGATTCTATCAGGATTTCATATATATTCCTTGATTTCAGGCCTATGCTCAGAGGAGAGTTATATGCTTATTCCTTTGTCTTGCCCAGTACCCCTCTATTACAACTCCTTGCTACAACAAATATCTCCAGGCATTTAACACTCTTCTCAGTTGGAAAACTTGCTGTCCTCTGACCTTTATCATCTCCAGGCCATCTCTTTCTCTTCCAAGAACTGGCCACCATGACTGCATGCCCAAGGTGGGTGCCCTTTCCTTTACACTGAATTATGCCAGCACACTGGCCATGCGCTCCTTTGTTTATGCACTGAATTACCCTGAGCTGCCCAGCATCTTCCACGTATCATCAAAGAGAAGGCTCATGATGTCTGAGTGCATCGCTGCCACCTGTTCTCTTTACTCATGATCAAAGAATCATCCAGGTGGGAAGGGACACCAGGAGGTCTCTAGTCTAACCCCCTACACAAAACAAGACTAACAGTGAATTCAGACCAGGCTGCCAAAAGCCCTGCCTGACTCAGTTTTGAAAACCTCCAAGGATGGAGATCCCATAACCTCTTTGTGCCCTGGTCCACTGTTTAACCATCCTTACTGTGAAAAAAAATTTTCCTTGGATCCATCCAGAATGTACCCATTTCAATCTGTCTCTTCTCCCAATGTGCACCTCTGCAGAGAGCCTGGCTCCTACACAAAGAGCATCCTCCATCTCCTACACAAAGAGCATGGCTTCCTCCATCTTCTCAGCAATCCCCTCACGGGTATGGGCAGGTTGCCATGAGGTGCTCCAAAGCCTTCCCTTTATGCACAGCACCCTGCTCTCCCTGCCTCTTCTCCCAGGACCAATGCTCCAGCCCAGCACTGTTTTGCTGGCCCTCCATTGAACTTGTCCCAGTTTATCAATGCCTTTCTTCAGTGTCCAGATGCAGAATAATGACACCGTGCACGTTTCTTTGCCCAACAATCCCACAGACACCTCATCCTAAATAGTTTTATTCACAATCTGCAACATTCGGATAGTTCTTAGCAGAGACAGAGAATGAAGAGTAGATGCCATTTTGGATGCTAAAGAAACCAGTGCTTTATGGAAGCACTGTGGGATTTCACCCTGACCTCCTGACCCACCTGACCACAGCAAAAAAAAACACATAGCCTAAAAGGAGTAGCTGTACACCACACTAAAATGGACATTTCTATTTATCACCATCTCCTCTAGCCTGTCTTTGCAGTTTTAATACAGCTCTAATATTTGGTTTTGGAGCACAGATACTGATTATTGTTAGAGAGGGCTGAGCCGTGAGTGTGTGCATGATCCACACGTCATCAACATCCTCTTTTATCTCTTCTCACTCTTGCTTCTCTTTCTCACCTCTTCTGCTTCTTACATCTCTTCTCAGCTAAATCACACTACACAGACGAGCTAGTAGTTTGTACACTCTCATGTGAGAAGAAACATATTGCAAATGGTATAACCTAATTAAAAGGAGTATTTCCATAAAGGAGTGGTGAAATATCACACTGCAGTGCACATAAGAAGCCTAAAGAGGCTAGAAATTTTTTCAGTTCAGTTTAAATTAACTGTTGTTAATGGTAACTTAAAGCACATGATCTTGAATGTGCTGCAGCATCTCCTGGATGGAGACAACTCCAAGGGCCTGCACCAGCAGCACAAACCCATCATGTGGCATCAAGTTCACTCATTAATTTCAGCTGCTCTGGTCACGGTGCAGAGCAGAAGTCCTGTGCTCTACTTGCCAGCTCTTTATTCCCTTCCTTGGGGCTGGCACAGCTGGGGTGGTAGGTACTTGGGTGGTAAGTTACCAGCTCACCCACGCTGCTAAAAATGAATTCTTCGTGGTAGAGCTATCTCTAGCCAGATCAGCCAGCTGCCCTCACCTATTGCAGGAGTGCATAAAGGGAAGTTGCCAGGGATGCGATAAGGACAGAGATGTCCGATTCTTTGGCAGGGTTGTCACAGTTAAACTAGCTCTGAAATTCAGGATTAGTGCTTTCAGAGCTACTGTCAGAGAGCTAAGGGTGATTCTAAGTGAATTTTTCTAGGAAAAAAAATGTGAGCAAAAATGTGACTGAAATGCAAAACTATTTAAAAGCAAATTTTTCAGCGGGCCAAAAGTATGATCCCTAAGAAAGATGGAAGATAGGTAAAAGCTGGCCTTTGCCAGGGCCTCTGGCAAAGTAAGAGGTAAATCAGACTCTCAAGAAGAAAGGCAGCCTGGTTGCCTGCACTCTGCACCGTCCAGTTGCCTTTCCCTGCTTTCTCCACGCACACGCATAAGCTCCAGTTTCTGATGTTCACTCCATAGAATCACAGAGTGATTTAGGTTGGAAGAGACTCCAAGATCACCCAGTCCAACCTCTGACCTAACACTAACAGTCCTCCGCTAAACCATATCCCTAAGCTCTACACCTAAGCGTCTTTTAAAGACTTCCAGGGATGGTGACTCCACCACTTCCCCGGGCAGCCCATTCCAACGCCTCACAACCTTTTCAGTAAAGAATTTTTTCCTAATATCCAACCCAAACCTCCCCTGGTGCAACTTTACCTGTTCCCCCTCGTCCTGTCACCAGGCACGTGGGAGAACAGACCAACCCCCACCTTGCTACAGCCTCCTTTAAGGCACTTGTAGAGAGCGATAAGGTCGCCCCTGAGCCTCCTCTTTTCAAGGCTGAACAAGCCCAGCTCCCTCAGCCGCTCCTCATAGGACTTGCTCTCCAGGCCCCTCACCAGCTTCGTCGCCCTTCTTTGGACCCGCTCAAGCACCTCAATGTCCTTCTTGTAGCGAGGGGCCCAAAACTGAACACAGTACTCGAGGTGCGGCCTCACCAGAGCCGAGTACAGGGGGACGATCACCTCCCTAGCCCTGCTGGTCACGCTGTTTCTGATACAAGCCAGGATGCCGTTGGCCTTCTTGGCCACCTGAGCACACTGCTGGCTCATATTCAGCCGACTGTCCACCATCACTCCCAGGTCCTTCTCTGCCTGGCAGCTCTCCAACCACTCATCTCCCAGCCTGTAGCTCTGCTTGGGGTTATTGCGCCCCAGGTGCAGGACCCGGCACTTGGCCTTGTTGAACGTCATGCAGTTGACCTCAGCCCATCGGTGCAGCCTATCCAGATCCTCCTGCAGAGCCTTCCTACGCTCGAGCAGATCGACACACGCACCTAGCTTGGTGTCATCTGTGACCTTACTGAGGGTGCTCTCCATCCCCTCATCCAGATCATTGATAAAGATATTAAAGAGGACCGGACCCAGCACCGAGCCCTGGGGAACACCGCCAGTGACCGGCCTCCAACTGAATTTGACTCCATTTACCACGACTCTTTGGGCCCGGCTATCCAGACAGTTTTTAACCCAATGAAGTGTGCGCCAGTCCAAGCCATGAGCAGCCAGTTTCTTGAGGAGAATGCTATGGTAAACAGTGTCAAAAGCCTTACTGACGTCAAGGTAGACCATATCCACAGCCTTTCCCTCGTCCACCCAGTGCGTCACTTTGTCGTAGAAGGAGATCAGGTTAGTCAAGCAGGACCTCCTCTGATAGCCAGGGCTGCTGATAAATGATGGAAAGCAGCTTGGTCAGCACTTCCAACGGTTCTCTCAGTACCCTTGGGTGGATCCCATCTGGCCCCATCAACTTGCGTACATCTACGTGCTGTAGATCACCAACCATTTCCTTGTGGATTATGAGGGCCACATTCTGCTCCCCATCCCCTTCCACCAGCTCAGGGCGCTAGGTACCCAGAGAACAACTGCTCTTGCCGCCAAAGACTGAGGCAAAGAAGGCATTAAGCACCTCAGCCTTTTCCTCATCTCTTGTCACAAAGCTTCCCCCCATATCCAGTAAAGGATGGAGATTCTCCTTAGTCCTCCTTTTTGTGTTTATGTATTTTTAAGAACATTTCTTTATCTTTTTTTAACAGCAGTAGCCAGATTGAGCTCCAGATGAGCTTTGGCCTTTCTAATTTTGTCCCTGTGTAGCCTCGCAACATCCTTATAGTCCTCCTGAGTGGCCCGCCTTCTTTTCCAAAGGTCATAAACCCTCTTTTTCTTCCCATGCAGTGCCGCAGCCCCTCCTGCACAATCTCTACCTCGACAACTGCACAAGGGGTGCAGCAGGCATGGCACAGGTCTGTCCGTGGGGGCTTGCTGAGCATCCTGCTGCTGCCTCCCAGAACAGAGTCTGCACTGCAGCCACGCTTGTTTGGGACTTGCAGGTTTGCCCAGCTGCAAGTTTTCATAAAATGTGTAGAAACTTAGCACCTTTGAGATCACTACTCCTTTGTCAATTTGAGGAAAAACTATGTATCTATTACAAGTATATAACAAATGCAAAGAGGGGAGAAGACATAAATGCTTAGGTTTACATTTACATTTCTCTAACATATCCAACTGAGCACCACAGCACTCAATCTAAAAATAAGCACTGAACACTATGAATAAAGCATAACTTAAGTGCACTGAAAGCTGATTCCCAGAATGTTATGAAGAAACTGCTGATGATACTCTTTTTGAAGGAAGGCATTTCACAGAACCTTGCAGGAATGAGAACTAGGTTCAGTCCTCCATAGCACTTTTAACATTAATTCAATGTAAGTATGAAATTCCATTTGGTCCATCCATGGCAACACGAAGACAGTGCCATAGGTGATTGATGATGAATAACCTAAAAGTGTCAGTACAGGGAAATACCCTGTATAGGGAAATAACAGGTCCAAAATGTTTTTTTGTTGTTGTTGTTGTTATTATTATTTTGAAAAACAGAGGTGCATACGGACCTGTGAGTTGCTCTGCCTAATCTCAAAGATGGCTGGCAGTTCAGGAGACTGAAGTCATGATAAGATGTGCCATGCTCAAGCTGTGCCCTGATGACAGCAGCCAACAACCTTGTCTCCCCATGGGCACAGCCAGCATACCGAGGGAAGGAATGATTCCCCTATGTTCAGCATTTGTTTAATTACACAGAATGACTCAGGTTGGAAGGGACCTTAAAGATCATCTAGCTCCAACCCCCCTGCCACAGGGGGTCTACATAGGGGGTCTACATCCAGGGGTAGACCCAATATTTAGCCTCCAATAGACAATAACAATGTCCAATAGACATTGATAAAGCGGAGCAAGTTCAATGGAAGTGCCAGCAAAATGAGGCTGGGCTGGAGCACTTACACTGGGAGGAGAGGCTGGGGAAGTTAGAAGGTTATGGAATCTCCATCCTCAGAGATTTTTCGGGACCCAGTTAGATTACTGATGTCCCTTCCCACTTGAATAACTGCATGACAGAACAAGACTCAGCACCGGAAACCAAGTCCAGGCTGGTCTCAATGGGAAATGAAGCACACACAATTCCCTTGGTAGCAGTGATTAATCCCAGGAACCTGCTCCTCAGAGAGGTGGTGGATTTGTCATTTCAAAATGCTGTGAAATCCATGTTGCCCACCCTTCCTGCAAAGAACCATTAGACAAATAGATACAGAGTCATTGATTCAGAGACACTGAGTGAAATCCAAGAACCTGGGAGACAGAGATTGTCTTGCAGATCCTAGTCCTGGCACCTGAAACTGACTCTAGTACATTAATAATAGAGTAAATCATGAAAGAAGCCTGCAAAAGTACACTGCCACCACAGAATCCCCAAAAATAAGGGCTGAAAGGGATATCAGGATGCCATCCTGCCCCAAACCAGACCCACCTGTCCTTGACCTCTCCCAAGACATTTCTGACCTGAGTTAGACTTCCTCAAGTGGGGACTTTGCCCCTTCCCAGCTGCCCATTCATTCTTACCACCATCAGAAACCTCCTCCTAGCATCCTCCCTGCAGTTTATACCTGTGATACCCTGTTCTGTCCCCCAGGTGATGAACAGGCGCCCGTTCTCTTGCTGTGACAATCACTTGCACACTTCAGCCCATCTCCACTCTGTCTTCTCTTCCTTAAGCCAAACAGTGCCAGTTCTTGGGCTTTCCTAACAAGGGAAGTTTTCCAGCTTTGTTCTTTACTGGATGCCTCCAATCAGCCCCATCTTCCTCACAGCACACGGTCCCATGCTGCAGCATTGACGTGCTCTGTTCAGCAAGGGATTACATCGTGGTTTTGGAAGGCTTCACTGCTGCATAAAGCACCCTGGCGTTGTGTTGGGCCTCCCTTGCCCTCTACCCTTCCACTCCCATCTGAGATCCATATACCCGCTTGCAACAACCTTGCTGCCTGGGACTTCAGTGTCAGGTCAAGCAATCTCGTCTGCAGTGACAGGCAGAACAGGCCCTGATCTCAGATGGCATCTCAGTTGCTCTCAGATACCGTTAGTACCAAATTTGATACTGATGATCAATTGATCAAACGAGGAGGAGGTTTCAAATCTGAACCCCAGCAACAAGGCACAGGAGATGCTGTGCCACCAAGCTGCCTGTGAGGAAGGAAGGCAGAGCCAAAGAATCAGGAGCAATGGGGCTGCTCCAGAAGGTCTCCAGTGAAATGCACATCACCAGCTCCAGCCAAAAGGAGCGTTGCAGCCCTGGGGCAGCCAATGCACCAAGAACAGCTCTCACCTGAGCTAGAGTTTGGTGTGTGGCTAACAGGAGAGATCCTGCAGTAAGGTGTCAGGAATGGAGACTTTCTGCTTACTCCTAGTGGAGAACTGTCACCACCTGGATCTGACCTTACCTTCCTGGTCTCCACATCAAAGGGCTCTGGGGTAGGGGTCTTGGCTTTCTGAGTGTCCTCCGGGGGCTGGGAGAGTGCGCGTGGGAGGGCATGGGGTCTGGAAACAGCGAAGTTCATCAGAGGATAAATCCCATTCCTGTGCAGACACAGAGAGAGGACAAACGACTGAGCCCTACCCTCTTACAGCCCTGGTGAAGGTCTGCAGGGAGGGTCTTGGCCCAGAGCAGGGGGTCTGAAGCCATGGAGCAGCAGCACTGGTAGGTAGCACAGTGAGGAGGCGGCAGACCTCTGAGCTCACCTCACCTGGCACTGCAACCCAGCTCTGCTCACCCACGCACGGGGAGTCACAGAGGGGCTCCAAGGAATGACCAAGCACTATCCTAAAAACGGGACGCTCCACATGTGCTGCAGCACAGGTCCCTGACCCTGCCTCCCTGTTGTCCAGGGAGTGGAAGGCAGAGAGACACCATGGATGGAAGCTGGGTGTACACATTGCAGGTCAACCAGCACCACTTTTCATGTCTGCAGTCAGGGCTATTTGCCTTTCTGGAGCCACCACAGTGCCAGGCAATGCTTCCAGATACTGCAGCTTGTTTGTCTGTGCTTTCAAAGGCTTAGCATGGTCGCCTGCGTGGCTTGCCCAGATCAACTGCCAACCCCTCAAACTGCACCCTAGAGTTAGTAGGCAGTAGGGGACAAGCAATTCAGATGTAGGTGCTCTTCTGGAGAGAAGGAAGACTTCTCAAGAGGAGCACAGGCCCAAAGAATGGGGTGAATAATGGGATCCTGGGGACATGCCCACAACCTACCTGACATCTTCTAAGAATTTGTCAAGTTCAAGGAAGGAAACCTCTGAGTACCTGGAAGAGAAGCAGAACAGGAAGATTACTGGGGGAAGCAGGAGAGAAGAGCAGCACAGTCTACACCACAATGCCAGGATCATCGCACTGGATAAAAATCCTGGGCTCAAACCTTTGTCTGCTCCAAAATCACCCTGCTAATTCTCACCTCCACTGTGCTCCAGGCCGACCCTCTCGCCGAATCTCTGCCATCACCATGTTCAGGTCCAGTTCTTTTATCTTCTCCTCCACCACATTCTCTGGCATCAGATCTAGGGCAAAGCCAGAAAAGGGCATCAGCTGGGAGGTCCTGCACATGTGGGTCCTGCAGCATAGTGCCCAGGGAAGGTCTGTGGGTCACTGCCTTTTTCTTCAGGCTCTGTTGGGGCTGGCATACAAGCTCGAATGGGGCAGAGTGATCTCTCACAGTTACTCACACTGGTTGTTGATGAAGCAATGTGCTGCCAGCAGCTTAAGGGAATGGACCTCAAAAAGCACACGGTGGAAGAGCAGGTTGTTAGCCGTCGGTCGCTTGTCTGGGTTGAGGGTCAAGCATGACAGAATGAACTCCTGAGGGTGAAATAAAAGGCATAAACTGGACACAAAGCAGGATGTGGTCCTGCTTCATTTGCATCACTGCCAGCCCTGGCTGCCTCTCATGGGAAGCAGATGTGAGCAGCTGCTTCCTGCAGCACAGCACCAATACTGAGGGTGCTGCAGGTGGGCAGCATTCTGCTGGGTATTCACCAGCAGTCCAGCTGCAGGACTAGAATCATAAAATGGGTTGGGTTGGAAGGTACCTCAAAGATCATCTAGTTCTGACCTCAAAGATCATCTAGATCCAACCCCCCTGCCATAAGCAGGGATGCCATCAGGTTGCTCAGGGCCTCATCTAACCTGGTCTTAAACACCTCCAGGGATGGGGCATCCACAACCTCTCTGGGCAACCTGTTCCACTGCCTCATCACTCTCTGAGTGAAGAATTTCCTCCTAATCTTTAATGCATGGTGTAAATATGCACGGCATGAGTTTGCATGACATCCTCTAGTGAACGTCAAGCCAGGCTAGCTGGTAAGTAAAATGAATGCTTGGGGTGGGGAACAAGAGACCAGAGAGACCTCAGGGCTCCCTTGGTAACAGAGAGACCCGTAGGACAGGGCTGACACCCCAGTGACCTGTGAAAGGGATCGCCCTCAGCGTAGGTCCTTAGAAGCAGAATGCAGCTATTCACACTGTCTGTATCCTATGTGAGTGCCATGAATGCGGCGCTCCCCGGTCTCTGCTGAGCTGTTTTCAGTTGGCCACATCTGTACAGCATGCGTGTGTGTGGGCACATGCGTGTACATGGGCACCTATTGGGAATTTACACAGCATCACTACTTGGCAGGACTGGGAAACAGCTGGGGACCTTCCTGCCATCCTGACCTGCCCAGGGGGAGGAATCCCTGTGCCCTTCAGCCCACCAGACTGGCTGCCCTCTGGTTTCCAAGAGGTTGCTGTCTGTGCCCCTTTCCAAGTGCCAGTGTCACCTGGAGCGCACGGGAGCACCAGGCTGCCTCTGTCCTTCAGATGCCCACCAACGAGGAGGTGTCTGAGGACGGGGGAGTTGCCCCCAGGAGGGATGCCTGAGCCTCACTGGTGGGTCAGGCCTGCAGCCCCAGGCCCGACCGACTGCACTCACCCGCATGTTGGGATCATCCAGAGAATGTCGTGCCCGCACGATTGCCTCCTCCGAGACTCGTGTGTCCCCGTTGGTCTGGATCTCCAGTACTGCCATCTGGGGAAGGAGGAGTGCAGCTGTGTCTGCAGGCAGCCGAGCCCTGGCTCGGTCCTTGAGGGCTTCCCAAGGGACACCCCCTGCCAGGGTGGCAGCGGTGGAGCCCCTCAGCAGGACGCACGGCTCAGCCAGGCCTGCCTCAGGCCCTGGCACACCTCAGCCCACAAGGTCCGGATCTCTCAGGGCTCCCTGGCAGCTCTGCCCTTGGGGCCTGTTTCTCTCCACCCCAGCACTCCAGGCTGCCCACACAGGGAGCAGATGCAGGGTGCTGCTCTCTGGGCACGGTGCAGAGGGGTGGGCAACACAGAGAGCACCAACAGCCCCACAGTCTGCCTGGACAAGCTGTGCAGAGCAGCACGTGTCCCCCTGGAGCAGCACAGCCCATCACTGCCCTCCACCATGACCCTTCCCGGGGCTGCCACAGCCTGCAGAGACACCAGTCAGAGGCGGCTGAGGTGCACCAGCTGGGCACAGGAGGGGTAAGTGAAGCTCTCTGCTGTGCCCAGGGCTGGGCCATGGCAGCAGTGGCTGTTTCGCTGCACCCATAAGCGATGTCTCCATCGCTGCAAGGGATCCCCAGCTCACAGAAAGGAAGGGAGACCTCCTGGGGAGCTCCCGAGGCCAGCCAGCAGGGTCCACAAGGGCAAACCTCTCAAGCAGGAGTCCCTGCAGATTCCCAGGCTCTGCAGCAGCCCTACTCCGTACCTCCAGTGCACACATCCCAAAGGAGAAGATGTCCACAGCAGTCCCATCAGCCTTTTCTGCAAAACCAAGCCAAAAGCACATCACGCCAGAGGCAGAAGCCATCACCCACTCACATTGGGAATAATGTGCCCAAAGCCTTGTCCCTACAGACTCCTCCCCAAACACTTCACTCTCTCCCTGCCCAGCCAGCCTCACTCTGCCTGCGCCTCTGCTCGTGCCTGCTTCTCCTACCCCTGGCATGCTTTTTCTCCCAGATACCCTGCACAAAACTTTCCCATTTACTCCGCTCGAATTTGCCCCAGAATGTTCATGATGGGAATCACGCTGATTTTGCACATGGCACAAAGACTCCTTACTCCTTCCTTTTTCCCTGGTCCCTGTAACATTTTACATGCTTTTGAGTGTTGCTGAGCCATAACCTTTTCAGAGAGCAATCTGTGGTCATACTGAAACCTTGTTCCTAACCAGTAATAGCTAATGCACAGTCCATTACCGTATAGGCACAACAGATTTTCCCCCATGTACAGCTCTGCACTAATCAACACTAAACTCTACCTACAATGTTATCACAGTCACAAGATCTTCTGTGACTCACAGCTGAGAGCTTTAGTTATGAATGCACTGAATAGCTCCGTATTGTAGCAAACCCGCTGCGCCCACGCTGTGCACAGACCCCTCCAACCCCCGGGGCCTCGCTCTGCCTGCACCCCCTGGCAGACAGAGTGGGACTCACGGCCATACTCCGGGGGAAAGAAATGCAAATTGCGCAGCTCTTCCCTCTCAATCCTGATGGGGCTTCGCAGGTCGTCTGGAAGGGCTGCAAAGGAAACAAGAAATGCTCTGAGACATGGCTCTTCCGAGTTGGTTCCCCAGGAGCACCGGGAGCACAGGTGGGAGCTCCAGGGCAGAAGGGATTTCAGTGTGTGCCCCTGCCCACAAAGAGACCAAGCAGACCACCTGGGGGGCTCGCAGTCTCCCAGGAGACCCCTGCTCCTGCAGTGGGAGCAGCAATTCCCCTCCTGCCTGTAGAGCCCAGGACCACCCCTTGGTGCTGTAGATCCTCACTGCCAAGAGGTGCCCAGGGCCCACTGGGGAGCCCACCCAGTGATGAAGTCCACCCAGTGATGGGTGATGGGACAGATGGGCTGGAGAGGTGGCAGAGGGACACTCACCATTTGCAAACACCCTGTGCCAAACTGCCGGTCAGTGTCGATCCCAAAGAAGGTAAGTAAGAAGGCATGGAGCAGAGGACACAAACAGAAGAGAAGGTAATGCTACACTTTGCACAGATGATGCACATGTGGGTGACGCTCAGGTGATCCCCCAAGGGACCCTGCAGCTCTCACCTCTTCCCCAGCCCGCACCCCCTCATCACACCCTGCACAGCCCCTCTGCCTCCCTGGCTCTGAGTCTCCCTCAGCTGGCACCTCCCTCCCGCTGATCCTCCCCATAAGCACTCAGAGCCGCAGGGCTGCATGAGCAGCAGCATCCTACCTGAACCAATCTTTATGAGCCCATTGTGCTGGATGAAGATGGTGTCACTGGTGAGATTGCCGTGGATGATGGGAGGCTCACAGGAGTGCAGGAAGCTGGGGACGTACACAGTCCTGAGTGTGCTGCCCGAGCCCAGCCAGAAGGAGGATGGCCGGTGGCAGCGAGCTTACCTGAGAGCAGACAGGATCTGGGTGCACCAGCGCTTCCAGGCCTAGAGCAGAGACCAGAGCTCTCCATCAGACGGGGCACACATCAGAGCCCAGCAGCAGATAAGGTCAGTCCTACCTATCACCAGAAGCTGGGGAAATCAGCCCTCCACTAGCCCTGTAGGGACTGTTACTCAAAGATGACCCATGCAGTGTCCCAGCCCCAACAGTCTCCTGTCAAATCCCTGTTCAAAGAACACCATCAGCGCTGAGAACATTGGTGCCACAATCCTTATCAGCAGACAGAGCTCTCCAGGGCACCAAAACCCTGGTGGGAGCATGGAAGAGCACATCACAAGAGGGGGCAAAAGCTAGCTGTGGTTATGGGGAACTGTGCACGTGGTTTGCACCAACAGTAAGTTCCAGTTCTGTGAGTACATAACTGCACTGGTGTGGTAGCGAGCTCAAATTGCAGGCGAGGGCTTTGAGGTCCAGCATGGGGCCCCCAGAACTCTCATCTGGGTGACTCAGGGAGTGACCACATGCACTCGCTCTGCATTGTAAGAGATCCTCTCCCAGCAGGCACAGAGCCACCCAATTCACCTGGGACGCTTCCTATGTGCTCTCAGGAAACCTACCCTGGCATTCATGGCCTTGTGGTTTTTCTTGGTTTTCTTCAGGAACTGTTTCAGGCTCCCTGAGGACACATATTCTGTGATGAAGATGACCTGAAAGAGGACAGAGGTGTCAGCTTTCCATCCTCCCTGCACAGCCAGCACTAAGTGCAGCCCATGGGCAGCACCAGCACACAGCCTGAGGGGGGCTCTGCATAAGGCTGAGAGCAGGCTTCTGGCCACGGTGTCCCAGAGAAGGAAGGGGAGTCCAGGGGGTGGGATCCCACCTGGCATCCCTCCAGCCTGGCACCCCCAGACACCCCCTCTCCGAGTCCTCCTTACCCGCGCCTTCGAGTCCTTCACATCCAGCCAGTATTTGTGAAGCTTCACAATGTTGGGGTGATCCACAAGCACCAGCTGCTCAAACATGGTCTTGATCTTCTCCTATGGGCAAAGAGGGGACAGGTGAGGTGGCAGCTCCTGGGACTCGGCAGAACACCTCAGAGAGCGAGGAAAGCTGGAACTGAGAAGCAGGCTGGGTCCAGGTCACAGGGAAAGCTGGGTTTGGGGTACAGAGGAAACACAGGGCTGGGGGCACACTCTCCAGCGGGAGGGGATGGCTCACCTCGTGTGCTTTAAAGGCCTTCTTGTCAGTGAAAAGCAGCTCATTCCACACCACCTCCACACCCTCCTCTGTGTCCATGGCAAGGAAGGTGCTCTGGATGCCCGGCATGTTTCCCTGATTCACCTGTAAGGCACAGGAAAGTGTGAGACTGCCGAGGAGCATGCCCTGCCCCCAGCTCCCAGCCCCACTGGCAGCCCTGTGCAGAGAAACACACTGCTTTGATGTGGATGGGCGTCAGCATCCTGCTCCTGAGCAGGATCCTTGCCCATAGGAGGCTCTGCCCAGGACACAGGGAGCAGAGCAAACCCCCAGCCTGCTGCCTGCCCTGCCTGGCCCTCCAGGACCTGCCTGTCTGGGAGCTCAGGTCCCACAGCAGCCAGTACCACTCCTCTAGGACACGAGTGTGCAAGACAGAGCCAGTGATTCAGAGCAGCTGCCAGGACAGCCCCCCTCCTCTCTTCCAGCCCAGAGAGAAGCTGGCCACAGCAGCCACCTGCCAGCACCACTCTTGCACACAGACCCCACATGGGCTCCACATCCCAGTAGATGTTGGGGAGCAACCCACACTTGCAGCTGATGACCACAGACACTCACAATGGATGGGGCAAACTGGAAGGTGCAGACAAACCAAAGCTGTGACATCTTTTAATGTCTTAAGGTGACCGGGGTCACTTCCTCATGCCCCGGGGTCTGTCTGATGAGTTTCCATCCACAAAGGTCACAGAGCTGCATCCCTGGGCCCTGCAGAGAGCAGCTCTGCCATCATCACCTTTGTGAGCCACATCCAGCATAGACACAGCTGCAGCAGCCCTGCCCCTGTGCCAGGTCACTGCTGAACTTGCCTTGAGGCCAGCACCAGATTGCCCATCCCCAGGACAGTGGGAGCCCAGCTCCAGCCCACAGAAAACCTGTTCAAAAGGCACCCAGTCCTGGTAAGGGTTCATTAGCATGGAGACACCCCCACCAAGGACCAGGGTCCCGCCTGCCCAGAAAGGTGCCTGCTGTATCCTGAACTGCTGGCTGCGCTGGCTGCACACAGTCACTGCCCTTGCTCTTCCCCCATGAGCACCACTGCACAGGAGCTCACCTGCAGCCCCTGATCTTCCTTCCCTCTTCCAGCGGGTTGGGGTCACCCTGCCAGCCCCTGATCTTCCTTCCCTTCTCCAGCGGGTTGGGGTCACCCTGCCAGCTGCTGCAGCTTGGGCAGAGGCAGCGCTGCCCGCTCCCATTGGCATGTGGCAGGGGCGGCGCAGAGCTGCCACAGCCAGATGAAAAGCAGGATTGTTCTGCTGCTGCCAGGGGCCAGCACGCAGCGTCCCACCACCGGGGCTTGGACTGCTATAGCACGGGGCAGCTGTGGGTGCAGGCACGGAAGGGTCACACAGCACCCCCAGCTCATTAGCAGGGAACAGACGGCCAGCTTGTGGCCCAGTTCCTGCTGCGGAGGCACAAAGCACCTCTATTATTTGTTCTCTCTTCTCACAGGCTCCACGTGCTTCGCACAAAGCCCAGCACAGCCAGTGATGGGGCCAGCTGGCCTAGCCGGCTTCAGCCGTTCCCGCAAGTCCCCACAGCCTGCCTGGGCTCCAGTATGACCAGCCAGCACCGAGCCAAGGCAGGTCTCAATGGAGGCTCTGCCGGGAGGGAGGGCGGCTGGGGGCAAGCACCCATGAACCATGAGGGGGCCACTGGTCTGAGTACTCCATGAAGCTGCTCTTCTGCCTCTCTCAAACAATGCCGCTCAAAAATCCTCTCATGGTCTTGACAGAAATCCTGTCCTGAACCCAGCAAGTGGCCATGAGGCCTCAAGCAAAATGTCAGCTGGGGAGCATGGCCCTGACAGCCTCTCCATCACCACAAGGGCATGCAGGAGCTGCACAGCACGGTGTTGAGGTTACAGATGCCTGGCTCGAAGGCACGGCTAGGGATGAAAAGTTCTGGTGTCACCTCTACCCACCTCTCTGTGTTGCAATGAGGGCCCCAGCCTGCAGGACCCCAGACCCACATACCCACTGTTCCCACCCTTGATGAAGTGGGTGCTGATGGGTGCCTCCCGCCCCTGGCCCACACCAAGAACTTGACGTGAGCTCTCAGCACAGGGATGTGAACACACTCAGTCTTGTGCTGAATGGCAACACAAAAAAAAACCACACTGAACAGCTGTCTTGTATGCTGAGCTCTCAGACTGCATAAATAAATAAATGCTGCATGTAAACATACAGGTGACTGAGGGCAAAAGGAGCTGGCTGAAGGTCACTGTCATTATCTGATACCAAGCCTTTCAGGGGCTCTGTGGACACCACGTGGATTTGGACTAACTGGCAAAAACTCTAAAGCCAAACTGGGAAAATTCCCTGTTCAGGCTGCTTCCAGAAAGCCCTTGGCAGGAGCTGAGGCCTGCCTGGAGAGATCACTGGGGACAAGTGAAGGTTTACAAAAGATCAGATTGCATCTTACAATATATCACTCCCTTTTGTGCTTTTCATATTACAGAGACTGAAACTGTCAACAGAAGGCTTAGTGATATAGTGTCAGGGCCTCGGGAGAGCAGTGGTTAAACAAGGAAGGCCAGAAAAGCAATGGGCAGGCATTTCTGCTACCACTGGGAGAGGCCTGTTTTAGAGAACAGAAGAAGGATGTGATGGGTTGTTACTCTTCTGGGGTGGCTCTGGCAGATGGAGAAGACATGGACACAGCACCTGGAAGAGAGGGGACTGCTCATCTCCTGTGTCCTGTGACCCGCACATGCTGGCCCTATCCCTCAGCAGAAACATAACCCTGTCCTCCATCCACCCTTCATGCCATCTAGATCAGCACTCCCTGACCACTGTGGGAGGCGGAGGATAGCATGGAGGCCTTTTCTGCTGGTGGCCATGCTCACAGGACCTTGGCACAAGAGCAGGACTGTGGCAGGTTGGCAGCTTCTGGCTGAGGGAAGGGGTCCAGCCCCAGCATGGCTGCGGGCACCAACTGCTGGAGCCGGGCCCCCTCCCATGCCTGAGCAGCATCTCGCACCCTCAACCCCCAGAACACATGGAATCATAGAATCTTTTAGGTTGGAAAAGATCCATAAGATTATCAAGGCCAAACATCACCTAACACTACTGAGTCTATTTCTAAACCACGTCCCTAAGCACAACCTCCAGGGATGGCAATTCCACCACTTCCCTGAGCAGCCTGCTCCAATGCCCAACCATTCTTTCCATGAAGAAATTCGTCTTGTGTCCAACCCAACCCTTCACTGGAACAACTCGAAGCCGTTGCCTCGTGTCCTATCACTTACCACCCACGATAAGAGACCGGCAGTGCAGGGTCACATTACTGTCATTGTGGCACTGGCACAAACACCTGGCACTGTTTGCACCACTGCACAGCACACAGCAGACCCTGCCTGGAAACATGGGTTCACATTAATGCACAGCAGAGGGATAATCTGGAGGTGGCTCCACAATGAGCCCATGGCACTAATGGAGCCCACTCTGCCTGGCTTGGCAGGTGCTGTTGGGAGAACCAAGAGCTGGCTGTGCTACTGGGATGGGGCCAGCTGGCTGGGGTGAAAGGCAGGCAGGTTGCTGCTGGGGCTGAGATGCAGTGACTGCAGGGAAGAGGAGGGAAATGATGTGGGTTCTTCCCACAGCCTAAGCCCAGACATCACCACCATGTATCCATCCAGCAAAATGCCATACAACAGAAATACAGAGGGGCCATTCAAGAGGCCGGGGGAGACCTGATGAGCCTGGCAGATACAGCAGAAGGCTGACCCTTCTGGTGGGATAGCTCATGACTGGAATGCTGTCATGGAAGGCTACGTGCTTATGAGAAAAGACCAGCTTGGAAGACGAGGTGGTGGAGTTGCTCTTTATTTGAGAGAACAACCGAAATGCATGGAGCTCTGCCTAGGGGTGGATGGAGAGCGAGTTGAGAGCTTATGGGTAAGGATTAAAGGACAGGCTACCATGGCTGACACTGTTGTGGTTGTTTGCTACAGGCCACCTGATCAGAAAGAGGAGGTAGATGAAGCCTTCTTCAGACAGCTTGAAGTAGCTGCAGTCACAAGCCCTAAAAGAATAACCCCAAGCACCAGTACAGGCTGGGGGTTGACCTGCTGGAGAGCAGCTCTGCAGAGAGGGACCTGGCAGTCCTGGTGGACAGCAGGCTGACCAGGACAGAGGCAGCAACGTGCCCTTGTGGCCAAGAAGGCCAATGGTATCCTGAGGTGCATTCAGCAGAGTGTTGCCAGCAGGTCGAGGGAAGTGATCGTCCCCCTCTACTCGGCCCTGCTGAGGCCACACGTGGAGTATTGTGCCCAGTTCTGGGCTCCCCAGTACTAGAGGGACATACAACTAATGGAGAGAGTTCGGAGGAATGCTACGAAGATGATGAGGGGACTGGAGTGCCTGTCGTACGAGGACAGGCTGAGAGAGCTGGGCCTGCTTAGCCTGGAGAAGAGACCGAGGCGAGACCTCATCAATGTGTATAAATATCTGAGGGGAGGGTGTCAAGAGGATGGAGCCAGTCTCTTTGCAGTTGTGCCCAGCGACAGGATAAGAGGCAACAGGCACAAACTGATGCACAGAAGGTTCTGGCTCAATATGAGGGGGCATCTCTTTACTGGGAGGGTGATGGAGCACTACAACAGGTTGCCCAGAGAGGTTGTGGAGCCTCCTTCTCTGGGGATATTCAAAACCCGCCTGGATGCCATCCTGCACAACGTGCTCTAGATGATCGCTCTAGATGATCCTGTTTGGCAGTGGGATTAGACTAAATGATCTCTAAAAGTCCCTTCCGACCTCAGCCATTCTGTGATTCTGTGCCTTACAGATGCTGTACATCCCACAACTGGAAGCAAAAGGACCTAACTTCTTCAGGGGTTTTCTGGACTGGTGCTAAGGCAGAGACCAGGGGAAAGATGAAACTTTAGGAAGCAAAGGCCCTTGGGCATACAGGAGAGCAAGGCAGCTGCCAGAAGTCTGCACATTGACTGGAGCTGAGTTGGGTGTGCTGCCTGAGCTGCTGCTGGCCCCAGGTGCATGGGGCTGTGTGGGATATGGGGCTGTGTGGGATTATGGGGCTGTGTGGGATATGGGGCTGTGTGGGATTATGGGGCTGTGCAGGATGGAGCC